AATGTTCTCCAGAGGATTTTTGGAAGCTGGGTTTTTTGAAAGTAGATTCTCTGGCTATTCTTCCTAAACACCTTTTGGAGCATAGCTGGTCCCCTCCAAGGTACTAATTAACCTTAACAATGTTTGTCAGAAACCTCCATCAACAGAAAAATCTTAATACTTGCCTGTGCTTAATAATGCGACAAGCATATATCCTCTCCTCGTGCCACCCTGGCACCTAAGAAGAGCAAATGGAAACAACATACAAATGTCTGTTTACTTACGAGAAAGGAAAAGAAAACACGGAACAAGACTGGGAATGAGAAGGAACCAGGAAAAAATGGAGAGATAAAAATGGGAAGAAACGGAAATACGGGGGTGGAGGAGGTGGCTAAGTGCCACTTCTTTGGGGATAACTTTTTTTTAAATAGCTCTGACTTTTAGAAACATGTTAATAGTATTTCATGTATTCCAACGTAACTATCAAGGGATACTATTAAAAGGTGGACCCCGGGAAAAGGGGCAGGGGCAGAGCAGCGGGTGCTACTCTCAGTTGGCTTGGAGTCCCCATCCTCAGCCCCATAGTCCTCAGGGTGCGCCGTGGAGAGCAGCTGAGTCCTGGCCAAGCGAAGCAGATTCCTTGATTCAACAAATATTGACTGGACACCTACTATCAGCTGCGTGCTGCCCTAGGGCTGGAACCACAGACCAGCGCCCTAATTAGTCTAGTGCGGCTTCTGCGCTCGGCTCAGGGGCTCACACGGACAGCATCGCAGTCCTGCCAGCCCCCTGGGTCGCCAGCTAGACTCTTCTCGGACTCCAGCCTGCGGCATAGCGACCTTGAAAGAGGCCAGCCTTCCTTGTAGGAAAGTTTGGAGAACGTCGAAGGTAGCAACTTTGGGGAACTGCGGACGGGAAGCGGTCCGATAACTACGTCCTGCAGGTTGCCTGTGGTTGTGTAGGGTATCGCATCGCGTGGAAATCCTGGACAAATTCGTCTCCTGAGATTTGTCAAGAATTTCCTCCGTCTCCTAAGAATCCCAAACACCTTTGTGGGCCTCGCATTGGTGGGAGCAGCAGCATCCCAGGTGACGTAAGTGGAGCGCAGCAGGCAGATCCACTCAAACCTCTGGCCCGCCCTCTCCGGGAGGGGAACCCGTGATCTACCTACGAGTCAGCAGCGACGACCACGGACGACGGACACCGCCGTGCTCGTTCCAGAACGAAGGACACTCGCCTCCAGCAGCTTCCAGCCCGCGCGGTGCTGGTCCCGGTCCCGCTCCGAGCCCCGCCGCCGCGCAACGCTCGCCGCTCGCCGCTCCCCGAGGTGGGCGCTACTGCAGGGAGCCAGTCAGTCCCTTGTGCCGCCCAGAAGCCGCGCCAATCGACCCGCAGCCGGCGAGATTCGCGGCGTCCCTGGTCCCGCTTCGAGCACCCTTTGGACTGGAGAGGCTCCGGGTTAGCTTTGGCCGACGAGCACCCGGGGAGTCGGAGTGGGGGGAGGGCGGAGGAGATAGGGGAGGCGCCCGAGCACCCAGCTCCAAGGTCCCTCCCCCTGGGGGAGGCCAGGCCAAAGCAGAGGCTTCCCTTGTGAGGGCTAGCGCTGGCCCCCAGGTGTTTGGAGACCCAGGCTCTCCTTTGACCCTCAGCAAACTAGGGAAGGAAATAGGCACTTGACACCTGGGTTAAGGATTTGCGCGCGGGGTTTTGGACTTCAAGTCCCTTTTATGGAAATTTCCCTACTATGACCTCCTACAGGGTGGCAGTAGGCTCAGCTATGAGAATTCCAATATTGGATCAAGCTTGCAGTAGGGTTTGCGGATATATATATATATATATATATATATATATATATATATATATAATTTAAATAGGGAGGCCTTCTTCTCTTCAACCTCCCTTTGAAGGTGGGGACAGAACCTTGCACATTCTGGTTCTACTGGATTGGAGGGAGCTGAGCACCCACCCACAGCCTGCTGAGCAGGAATAAATACCATACATCCCCTGCCTTCCTTCTGATGGTCCCGAATATCCCTTCACCAGCTCATGCTTGTCTGCACCTCTGAGAGGGGGCAGATGCATATATTTCTAGGAGTCGTGAGCATACCCTGTTTTATGTGCACATGTCGTTTACGTATTTGTCCCAAGGAAACAATCTAGAATGTTGACAAGGCTGAAGGCACAAATATGTCTTTGGAACCCTTATTTGCAGCGAGTTAATTTTTTTTCTTGGTAGAATCTAGAAGTAGAAGAGCATTCTATTAGGACCCATCCATCATATAGACTATTATGTTGTCATTTAAATTTTTATTTGTAAAAACTGAAGTGATGAAGATGTTTAGGGTATGAGCTTAAAATATACAAACTCGAATATATTTGTAACCTCATATATGCGTTGATGTAGACATCTATTGAAGTGTGCTAATATGGTATCATTCTGTGGAAATGGTCTTTCCCACTTTTCCTTATTTTCCATGTTTTTAGGAGGATCCACATTACTTTTATTTTCAGAATAAAATAATCAAATGTCGATAAATGCGTGAATCATCACAATATTTCTAAGAGCAACAGTACTATCTCTGTGGGTGGTGGGGATTGCTGCATGCCAATACCTAACTGGACCACCTTGTAACTAACTTCTGATTGCCACACCTCACTAAAAATTTTTAAAAGGAAGCCATTGGGGGTATATATACCTTGGATGATGTGTAAGCTATCTAGCACTGCTGACATGGAAACACCACACGTGAGTGACTTTAACAAACACAAAAGTATTTCTTATAGTTTAGGAACCTGGAAATCCAAATTCAGGGTGCAGGCAAGCTCTGGGGACAGGCTCTCTCAGCCCACTAGCTCCTGAAGAAGGTCCTTATCTCGTCTGAGCCTGGGCCTTCTTCAATGTCTCAATCTCAGCTTCTCTTGCTTGCATCTTTTGTATCTCATTAATATAACAGAGACAAACCTATCTGCCTTGGAAGAAGTGCAGCGAGAATGCTCCTTAGAGGCAAGCAAGGATAGCAAGACTTCATCTCATACTTTGGACATATGGTCAGGAGAGACCAGTCCCGGGAGATGGACATCATGTTTGGTAAAGTGAAGGGACCCTCAAGGAGATGGATTGACACTGTGGCTGCAACAAAGGCTAAGCCATAGGGACAATTGAAGGAGGGTGCGGGTCTGTGCAGGATTTCGTTTTGTTGTGCATAGATTAGGGTCATTATTGGACGGAACCAAATCAAGGGCACCTAAGAACAACAACATAACAAAGACTACCCACTCCCAAGTGGGATTGTAACCACAGGCATAACAGATGGGTAGCACACCTCGCATTTTAAGGGGACAAAATTTAATCCAGGACAGAAGTAAAAGTTAAATGATAGGATAAATAAGAAATCCTTGCTGGTGGCTGAAATTGTACATGAATTAGTTAACCTAAGAAATAACACCCAGTTTGGGGGACACTGAATCTGCAAAGCATGGATTATTTAAGAAACACTTGTTCTGAAATTCCAGAGAGAGCCCTGGTGAGATCTCATGTTGATTAAAAACATTCAAAAACTTTGATTCCGTGTTTGGGATTCCTGCTTCCTTAATTTCTGTACATGAATGATAATAGCAATGGGCATGGCTTGATGGCTTCATTTGTGTTGTTTCACTTAATTCTGGCACTGAGATAATAAATAAACCTATGAATGGCTCCTCCTCCTCTCCATTTTGTAAAGAAACCAAAATTCTGAGAAGTTAAAAAACAACAACAAATAAATAAATAAACAACAACAACGAACTCATTGCCATCCAGCCAAATCTGACTTAGAGTGACCCTATAGGATGGGGCAGAACTGCCTCTGTGGGTTTCTGAGGCTGTGACTCTTTACAGGAGTAGAAAGCCCCGCCTTTCTCCTGTAAAGCAACTCGTGGTTTTGAACTGTTAACCTTGAGGTTATCAGCCTAGTGCATGCATTACCACTCTGACAACTTGGCTCCTCAAGAAGTTAAGTAGTTTGTCCAAAGGCGCCCAATGGATGTGCTCCGGAGCAGGGACTAGATCCACTGACTCACCTCCCTGCTCCTGCCCACTGCCCAACATCACCTCCCTGACACACTGCTCGGTGTCCCCCGCAGTTCTGGGGATCTCAAGCTCCTCTAGTTTCCTGTTCCTTTGGAGACGCCGCAGTGATACACTTGCAAGCACACGCACTCTCAAGGCAGGGCCTTTAGGCAGGAAAAGAAAGAACATGAAGATAAGGACAAGGTAAGCCCCTCTCTGCGACCTCAACGCGGACTTGGGCTGTTACCTTGCTTCTCGCCAACCTCTCGAACTCAAAGGAGAGCCTTTAAAGAATTTCGCTCTCTTGCTCCTTCTAGGCTCTAGGAGCTCTCCCTGGGAAGTTGCTGAAGACATTAGCATACGGCCTTCCCTCTGCGGTCCAGGGATCTCAGCCCTGCTAGCTTAAGATTCTCTCTTCCAGCTTCAGTGCTCTGGGAAGGACAGGCTCTCTGCTCCAGGATGCCCAGTTGGCCCCCTGCCTCCCACCTTGAAGTGGAGAGATGGCACCAAGGCTGGCTGGACCGCCTGTTTCTACAGCAAGGACTCCCACCCTCACCTCACGCACCCTCTGGGTAGACCCTGGCAGACCCGATCCTCTCACTAGAGTCACCAGCTGCACACAGCCATCTCTCTTCAGTGTTCCTTGCTTTTGTGAGCAGTCAGTATGAACCAGATCTTCCCAGATTAGAGGGTCCCCAGAAGAAAGAGTTTAGTGAAGGGGAGTGGGTGGGGGAGGTGCCGGATTAACACGTGGTTTCTGTGGGAACCAATGGGGGTAGCGGTCTTGTCTGGCAGTCCTGCCCTCCCCCTCCACCCCCAGTCTTCAGGGATGGCCCAACACCTTGGAGACCCTGGGCATCTGTCCCAGGGCTGGGGATCCACTGGACCTTCTAGGACTAGAACCGGTTAGTTTAGGGCACTGGGCTCCTGGGGGACCAGGGACGCTCACACCCCCTCCCCCTTTGTTGTCGGGATGCTGCTGAGCCCAGTCACCTCCACCCCCTTCTCAGTCAACGACATCCTGAGGCTAGAGCGCGAGCAGAGTCACCCCAAGCTTTCCCCGCTCCCAGGGCTTAGCGGGAGCCCAGAAAACTCTCAGTACCTGCGCCTGGACCCAGAACAGCACGGATGGGGGGTTCACAACACTCAGAACAGCCGCGACCCGAGGAGGCTGGAAGGTTCAGGGCCTCTGGGGGGTCCCTGTGAGAAGATCATGGAAATGGACGCAGAGCGGGTGGAAGAGCCACGTGAGTATGCGCTCAGGCCTCCGCTCCGACTGGGCTGGGAGAGGGAGGTGACTTCTGGCTGGCTTGGGACGGGCGAGATCTGCAGTTCCTAGTCTCCTTCATCTATATCCTTCAACGGACAGGTCTCCCCGCCACCCCAATCCTGGTATCCCGCGTGCAGCACACGCCCCGAAACCCCTAGCCTTTCCTCGGGTTCCTGGAAAAACTGATCACACCTCCACAGCTGCAGCCTCTCATCCCCACCACTCACCCCCACAATATCTCAGTCTGCCCACCTCTCCAGACACACTCGAGAGCCTCTTCCCTGGCTTCCGGAGCCTCTCTCTCTACCTTGAGCAAGCTACTAAAACTATAGCCGCAAAGCGTCAGCCCTGGAAGGAGAGACTCAGCGGGCCCCAGCTCTGGGGATTTGCGGGCTGCCCTGCTCCGCCTCTCATTCCTATACCTAGAAATGGGGACTAGGCGGGGTCGTGTCCCGGAGTGGGCCCAGCAGGGTTGGGCGCCTGGCGCCTGGGAAGGACAGACAGCTCAGGATTCCGCTACCCGGGGAGATGGTGGCTCGGGCCGGGTCCTGGTCACTGAGGGCATCCGGCGACCTGCCCGCCTGCAGGAAGGAAGTTCGGCCTGCTGGAGCGGCCAGGCCCTTAGGGCAGGAAGGCTCTGGCAAGAAGGTTGCGCCTTCCCAAGGAGGAAAAAGTTTCTCTTCCTTTCTCAGAATCCTAAACTGGGCCTGCCCGCCCCCAGAGGCCTGCGCTACGCGCCCCCCCTCAAACCGCCCCCCCCCCAGTGCCCGGTAGGGTGAGACCACTGGGCAAGGCCCCATGAGGGCCCTGTATTCACAAAGCAAACGGACACGATGGATAAATAAAGAGGTGGTGCGGAGTTGCCAGTCCCTAGGGGCTCGGTGGGCACGAGCCAGGGGAGCACTGACCCTTAGCCGAGATCGCTTCTGCTCTGCTGAAAGCTCTGAGCTCCCGGGACCACTTCGGGTGCCTAACAGCAGGAGCCCCACTGCCTTGCGTTTCTCCTCGCACTGCCTCTACTGGGGCTGCCCGAGGGCCCGGTCCCGGGGGCTAGACTGTGGAGGCCAGTGGATGGAGGCCCAGGGCTGGGCAGCGAGGGATGCTCTGGACGCGGACTGAGAGCCCCCTCAGCCCGCGTCCACAGGGGACCTGGAAAGAAGGAAGGGCCTGCTGGCTCCACAGCTTCGTGCCACGTCCCCTGGTCATTTTCTGGTGTGCTAAGAAAACGTGCCTTTGGGGATATTCCCCCTCTTGGCCCTGGAGGGAATCTTCATCTTCTCCGGGCCTGAGTTCCTGAGCGCAGACGTCTCTAAAGGAAGTTTTTCCCCCACTTCAAACATCAAATACCAAACAGCCACCTTCTCTCTACAGCTGGTGTGCCCCCAGCGCCTGGGGACCTGAAGTGCGGTTAGACTCCCACACAGCAGCTCCCTTAGCTGTGGTGACTCCACCATGCCTCATCCTTTCTGAGAAGAGCTCGCAGCCTCCATGCGCTTTGGGGTGACTCCCTGCATGTTTTCATTTTTTAAAAAATCAACATTTCCTTTCTTTCCTTCCGTCTTTACCAAGACAGGAGATTGGTGGGGAGAAAGGGAGAAAAGGCTGCACTGGGGCAACGCTTCAGGTCCTGGGTCAGTGGTCCGGAGTCTGGCTCACCAGCGAGGGTGCCCCCTCGGGGGAAAGGGGACTCTGCTGACGCCAGCCCCTCAACGGATAGCTCCAAAGGAAAGAGGAGGCCTGCTTGAAAAAAGTCAGATGTGGATCTCAGCTTCTTCTATCGCTCAAAAACCAACCCCCTTTGCTGCATCAAGAGTCGGGAGTCAAGAAATGTTTTGTTTTATTCCGGTCCGTTGGATTACAGAGCACCGCAGCCAAGAGCCAGCCAGGGTCCCTGATGCTGGTGGAGCCCTGGAAGACGGCAAAGACCCAGACACTTGCAAAGGTGGGCTGATAGCGGCATACCCCGGCCGGAGTGCTCCTGGGCTCGCCTCTGAAGGTGCCAAGGCCGAAAGAGAATAAAGGTTTCCTTCTCTCTGTTCCGACTGCTCTTCTAGGACTGTCCACAGTTCGTCCCTGTCAGAGGGAAACCCCAAAATAACACTTGATCCTCACAGCAAAGAGTGGGTGGGAGGGCAGATCGGTGGGATCTCGATTGGGAGAAGAAAATGCAGCCACTCTAGAATGATGAAGCAGCTCTTGGGGAAGCGTTGTGTCATCCGGACATAGAGGGTCCAAAGGCAGACGTCCTCATTGAAGTTCCAGGAGCCCCCAAAGTTACAGAGGGGGCAACAGTTGCCTTCTGACCGGCCTTGGGGAGGGAGAAAGAAAAGAGGTCGTGGAGCGAAGGCTCCCAGGGAACGAAGTTTCCCCTTCTTTTTGTCGATGTTTTCTTTTATAACGACTATACCTCTCCATCACCCATGATTGCTTTCACGGTTTTGCGATAAATCTAACATTCTGAAAAGTCAGTTAAGTATACATTTTTAAGTTGTCTTCTTGGTAGCTAGACTCTGTATCTCTCCTCGTCACATTTCTAAGGATGATGCTCCCGAATGGTGTGCTTACATATATACTATATATGCAGTGTGTTTGTATGTATATATATATGTATTCTCGATTTACATATTTTATAAATAGAAATATATTATATAAAGTATATACTACATGTAGAATATATTCCCACACTATATATACTATATGTATAATATATATTCTATGGGTGTATATATATTACTTAGGTTGTGAAATCACCACTAGTAATCGTCGCGCATTTTTCTATTACCATGGCCATAAACAGATAGCTTCTGACCGAACAATAACGTCCGCGAAAGGGAGCCCTAGCTTGCCAAGAGGGGCTCAGAGGAGCCTGAGCTTGGCGCTGACGCGGGTCCCTCCTGTGCTTGCAGAGCCAGGGCTGAGCGCAGCCTCGCCGGCGCGCGGCGGCAGCGGCGGCGGCGGCGGCGGCGGCGCGGAACCGCCCAGGGTGCGGCAGCGGCGGAAGCCGCGCGTGCTCTTCTCGCAGACGCAGGTGCTGGAGCTGGAGCGGCGCTTCAAGCAGCAGCGGTACCTGTCGGCGCCCGAGCGCGAGCACCTGGCCCGCGCGCTGCAGCTCACCTCCACGCAGGTCAAGATCTGGTTCCAGAACCGGCGCTACAAGTGTAAACGGCAGCGCCAGGACAAGTCCCTGGAACTGGCGGGCCACCCGCTAGCGCCGCGGCGGGTGGCGGTGCCCGTGCTGGTGCGGGACGGCAAGCCCTGCCTGGGGCCCGGCGCACCCGCCTTCCCCGGCCCTTACGGCCCGGCTGCGGCGCCCTATTCCAGCTACAGAGGCTACGCCGCCGGCCCCTACGGGGCGGGCTTCGGCGGCGGATATGCAGGCGGGTCCCCGGGCCCCGCGCCGCCCGGACCCCTGGCCCTGGGGGGCTTCGGCGGGGGCGGCCCTGGCGGGAGCCCGGAGCACCATCTGTCCGCAGCGCTGCAGGGCGTCAGGGCCTGGTGAGGCAACCAGGCCCAGGTGTCCCATCTCTGTCCCTCCACGCGCGCGGGCCGCGACTGGGGTGAGGGTCTGTCTGGCCGAAGGGAAGCAGACATCACACGGCGCTTCTCCCCCCCAAAAAAAAGCTCTCTGAGATCGCAAATTGCCCCCCAAGTCCCATAAGCCTCCCCCGCCCCCCAAAGGCCTTGGGAGCCCCAGAGGGAATCACGTGGGGCCCGGACCTGAAGAAGTAAGTCCCCAGGAAGAAACCCCAGGATCCTGGGATGGGACAGGTGCTTTGCCGGCCCCACGTGCAAGCCCTGTGGAGGTGCTTTCGTTGGTGCCAGCACCGCGGGTGGAGGTGTGGTCCACAGGGAAGATGGAAGAGGGAGATGGAGGGCGAAGTAAGGGGAGTGGGGTGACGACCAGAAAAGAGGAAGAGCTAGCAGGTTCACTCAGAGGGACTATACATTCCCTTCTGTGGGGGCCTAAAAGTCCCTTCAAAGGCAGCGCTCACAGGGACTTCAGACCTAACCCAGAGGCGAAAAACGGCTCTCTGGGTGTGTCCTCTGTGTGCTGGCTCTTCCTTCGCGGTGTTGCTTGCATTTTATGTGTGTCCTCCAACATCTCCAGCCAATACAGTGCATACATCTGTGTGCGTGCGCGTTTGCGAGTGTGTGCTTGAGTGTGTGGGCACCTGCACGTATCGGTTCTTTCTGCTAATTCAAATAAAGCAAGCAAATCCCACAAAACCCAGAAGTTCTGAGCCTGCAATGCACACTTTCCTAAGGAGACAAAATGCGCTCTGTCCAGAGGGGCGATGACTGGTGTTACTTGCCTTCCAGTGGGCTCCAGCTCTTGGAGAGCTTCCGTGTAAGACCTAGGGGAAAGTTACCTCCTCCTGGGCCATCTCCCTGATCACCGCTGTAGAGGAGTCCACTGCAGTTCCTGGGTAGGTTAGCCATGTAGGGGCTCACCTGGCATTCAGCAGTCCTGCTTCTGTTGTCATTAATAGGGCTTCCACGGGCTGCTTTGTGGAAGTAGATCATAGGTCTTTCTTCCTTGTTCAAATCTGAATTCTCTGCTGAAAGCTGTCAGCCTTCAGTGACCTTTGCTGGTATTTGAAATAGTCCCTGACATACATTCTGGCACCAAGCAAGCCACTGAAATAGGACAAAATGACGTTGTGTGTGTGTGTGTGTGTGTGTGTGTGTAGACTGCCTGATTTCTTTTCTCACAGCTCCCTCTCTCTTTTTGGAGGACCTTTCAAAGCATAACCCATTTCTAAATTCTGTATCAGGAAAGCAGGTGGCATGGGAGAACACCTCCTCACCCCCATCGTACCCTAAACCAAAGTTACTACCATTGAGTTGATTCTGACTCTGAGAGAGAGAGATCCTACAGGACAGGGTAGAACCAATCCTGTGGTTTCCAAGCCTAACTCTTTAGGGGAGCAGAAATCCTTGGCTGGTGATTTCAAACTGCTGACCTTGAGGTTAGCAGCCCAACACATAATCACTTTGCCATTAGGGGGTCATGAGGAGTCCTGGCTGTCTTATAATGATGTCCAGGAGGCCTGGATTCTCGAGGGAAATTATGACACACTGCCCTTCATATGTTAGAAATCACGCACACCTGAACACCGCAAAACAAAACCCAAAACCAAGCTCATTTTGTTCATGGTAGCATAGCATCAAATATATAAATTTGTCCTTGGTGAGCACGATAATAGGAAAACCAGCCCCTCTCATTCATTTATATTATCTTTTGAGACACAGAAAACTCTAGTCCTTATCTTTTAGGCCACTGATGAGTTGAAAGCTGAATTCTAATATTTATTGAAAATGCTTAATGCTTGCAGTCTTACTGCTGAATATATCCTGGTTGCTTTTACTGAAGTGGGAACACTGAGACAGCCTGATTCTATATAGACTAGGCCTTACTATCATTTTCCTTTCCTCTAAAATTTTACATAGTTTGTGGTAGTTGAATACTCACAGCAAAACATGCACCAGCTAATTGAACGGTTTCTGCATGCACAGTTGAGTATCACTGCTTACATTCTTTGAGTTATGCAATTATGCTCTCCCTCCTTTTCTGACTTGCCCCTCCTTCACTAAGGTAAACTCGCTGCCCTCTCAGGTTCCTATCCAATCTTTCAGGTTGCTGTTGTCAGTTTGATCCAGTATTAATGATTCTTCAAAGAGCCTAATGCCCAAGACAGCAATTTTTGTTTTTGTAGTTAAACTAAATATTGTTTGATTTTTAAGATGAATTTCAGGAAATGTTTTGTTTTAAGGTTAATGATTATCCCAGGGCAGTAGTAAAGGTTTATCTACCCTTGACGGCTCCAGAAAGTCTGGAGTCCATAAGAATTTGAAATTCCACACTACATTTTCCTCCTGTTGATCAGGATTTTCTTTGTGATCTTCCATCAAAATGTTAAGTAATGGAAGCCTGACACCATCCAGTTTTTATGATCTCATAGTAAAAGAGGTCATGAGCCACTCCTCCTCCTATTCCTGACTTTCCTTCTGTTGCTCCAGGTGAAGAGAGAACGGTTGTGTCTTTGATGGCCCCTGGAAAGCTCTTAGGACCCTAGCTAGTACACAACCAACTAGAACAGAAGCACTAAATACATTATCAGGCCAATTAACTGGAATATCCCATGAAACCATGGCCCTAAAAACTCCAAGACAAGGAACTAACTGTAATGAAGTTTCTGGTTGTACATAAACCGTTTCAGCAGCTATCCTTTCTTGGTTTTGGGGTGGTTTTTTTTGCTACCCTTTCTTTCTTAGTCATTGTGTAATGACGTCTATCATTCAATTTTTGCCAAGTCTCCTTTTTACAACACATTGATTGCAATCACAGCAATCAATTGGGTAGATAAGCAACTCTATGCTTAATCTCCCCATCACCATGAACCCTCCTTCTGTCCCTTTCCTCCCACTCCTGCTAAGCACTAGTAAACTTTGGTCTCTATCTATTTGCCTTTTCTTGTCTTTTGTGTGAGGTCATGCAATATTTGCTCTTTTGTGATTTGCTTATTTCACTCAGCATCATGGCTTCAAGCTCCATCTATTCTGTAGCATGTATCAAGACGTCATCCCACCTACTGGATGAGTCGTCTATTGTATAAATGTACCACATTTTGTTTATTCGTTCATCTGCTGGGGAACATTTAGGTGGTTTCCACCTTATGATTCTTGTGAATATTGTTACAGTGAATGCTGTTGTAAATATCTCTTTGAGTCTCTGCTTTCAAGTCTTTGTATTATATATAGAAGCGGAATCACTGGGGCAGATGGTAGTTCATTGTTTCGTTTTCTGTTCAGTTTTGTTTTAGAAACCAAAACACTGCCATTAGCAATGTCTTTACTATTTTGTACTCTTACCATCTGTGGATAAGATTCCAATTTCCCTAAATCCTCACCAGCAACATTGGTTATCGTGTGTGTGTGTGTGTGTGTGTGTGTGTGTGTGTGTGTGTGTACCTTAATCATCTTAGTGTGAGTGAAATCATAGCTCATGGTGACTCTGATTAGCATCTCTCTGATGGCTGGGGGTGGTGCATCTTTTCTTGCATTTGGTGGTCATTTGGATGTTCTCTTTTGGTGTAATGTCTATCCAAGTCCCTTGCCATTTTATAATTGGCGACCTTACTGTAGTTTTACATTTCCTCTGTTGAAGCAACAACACAGAGATACATGATAAATGTTTATGTATATATATATATTTCCCCTACAGCTTTGCTACTTCCCTCTCCTTTTGTTGTTGTTTGTTTTCATCCAGTCTCTCGTTTTCTTCTCTATTTTCACTGCCAATAAAAGTGTCTTTATAAACACCCTTGGTGTCTTTCAATTATCGTTACTGTTGATTCCTGGAAGCTTAAGGCCTGCAGTGGACTGCTACCAAGTGAGTAGCAATCTGCTTGGCCCTGAATTGTTAATTGAATTAGATTACAGTATTTCTAAGATCAGAGAGAAAAGCAATCCGTTAATTTTTTTTAAATGTTATCGTCTTTTATGTAAGGTCCCTGCCTCAGAAATGTACATCAGTGTGGTATAGAGAGAATGAATAAATGTCACCTCCCTCGCCTGCCGGCCCACTCCCTTCTAATAGGAGCGCCGGAAGAAGCCTCTCTGTTGCGTGTGCACTGTTCAGAACAGGCCTGGCCTATGCACAGTCCTCAAGTAGAAAACTTCCATTCCGCCCTTTGCCACACCTTTGTGTATTGCCTGGAAAGAAAGCTGCTGGGGTGAAGGGGGAAAAGAGGCTTAGCTCTATCCCCAGTAAGTAAGCCATCACCGAACACTCTTGGTAGGGACACAAGGGAGAGAAAAAAAAACAAAGATTTGGCGGCCAGACGGAGAGAATGTACTATCTAATTGGATAGCGAACATTCGCATGAGAAAAGCATCTAAAAATACAAGGTGGTGTGTGCTGCGTGTCAAAGGAGAGCGCAGACAATGAGGAAGGGGATGGGGCGGTGGGGAGGGGCTTAGAGCAGGCTCCACAGAGGGGCTGGGTTAAGCCGGGTGATTAGTGTGGGAATGACACCCTGGACTGGGAGCGGCTCCAGGAGAGGTCCTAGGATTGGGGATTGAGGAAAAGTAAATGGGCACATCCGCAGCCAGAAGTATCTTGTTCGAGATGCAATTTACAGCGGCGGAGGCTGTGGTTCGGTGCCATCAAGCCCCTTTCAACAGCCCATGGACAGCAGAATGGCCCCGTCGGTGCCCTTGTCACAATGGTGTGATGTCGAAGCGAAGCCGTTGTTGTTGCAGCCCCGGGATCAATCCATCTCCTTGGGGGCCTTTCTCTCGTTCAACGAAGTCCTACTTCACCAAGCTCGCTTCTGTAAATCCCACCCCTCCGTTCAGTTGGCTGAAGCAAGGGGTGGGGAGAAGGAACCCCTAGGGGGCTGCTTCAACTCACACTGGGGGTCCTTTCAATATTGCACTGAGCAGGGACTTTTTTTTCTGCTGCGCCCCAGCAGACATTTCTGCTGGTCTGCAAAT